CTCCTCTTAGATTTTGAGTTCAAAGTCCTGATTGTAGGGCTTGAACACACAGCCTTCTGACTCAGAGATGAGAGTGCTGCCATTCCTTCCATTTTCTCTTCAGTATTAGGAACACGAAAAGGACATTTGATCTATTGAGTCTGTTCCATCATTTTATTAGATTCAGGCAGATAACAAGATTAGTTTGGATGAAGAAGGGCTTTCCAGCCATCTGATTTCAACCTTCCAGAGAGCCCACCTTGTCAGCCTCCCCTCATAGCATCAATCTGTATATTTTAAAATAATCCAGTGTCCTGGCCTCAGCCACATTTCCTGACAACATTGTCTAGTCCTTAATTAACCTCAGGGTAAAGAAAAACTGTCTCGTGCCTCCTGAAACAGCCCTTTGCAACTTCAAAACTGGCATTTTATTAATTCCATTTCCCTGCTTTCTTGCCTTAATCCTGGCCAACAATTCTCCAAATAAAATTAGTCATTCATGGTTGTTTGTGGGATTCTCTTCATTATTTTAAATGCTTTAAATCAGGTCATCCCTTTATTCATTATTTTTAAACTTTATTTTTTACTAGATCAGTTTTGGCACAAATGCTAACCTAAAAAAATTAATGGCTGATGGATTGTGAATCCCTGACTTGTTTCATACCTAACATGGGTAGTGGAACAAGTTTCGCAATTATGGAAAGTGTTCAGTAACTCATTAAGTTCAGCCCATTTCAACCCACTTTCCCACCCCACCCTATCTCACCCCATCCTGTCACGCTCTCCTTACTTGCTAGAATCTGCAAGCAAACCTGTGTGGCTCAAGAGCTTAGTCTCAATTCATATGAAACAATTTCTATTAAATTGAAAGAAAAGTTGGGGCAATCAAAGCTGATTGTCAAATAACATTTGACAGTGTTTAACAGTGGCAACCAGTTAGCGTTGCATTTAATATTTGACGCTGGTGGTTTGTTTAGTTTAAAGTATCGATAAATACCAGTTATTCAAATTAATGGGATCCTCCCCATAGTGATGGCTGGTTTCTGTGTTTTATTCCACTCTTACTTCACGTGTGCTGTCCTGTTGTGTTAAAACTCACAGCGGTAGGGTTTGGCTATTGGCCTAAGAACTAAAGTACTCTGAACCCATCAAAGTGCCATGGTCAATGCGCTGGATATAGAGCCCAGTGTTTTTCCTCCCTAATCCTGCCCTAATCTGTGGTCTGGAGATTTCTTCGGAAATGTGATTTCACTTTACAAGTGATGCAGATTGTTCTCCCATCCAGTTGTCAACACTTGCTCATTACCCTGAGGGAGGCTGTTCCATCTGTCAGGATGCCTCACCTCGTATTCGCCTCAACTGAAACGTCTTGACATTCCTCCTGTAATAATCTCCCAAATACAGTTCTGCTGCTCTGTGTGGAGCACATAAAAAGTATCAAAAGCAGATTAATTGGATTCTAAAATAGATGATGTTTTACACCAGAATTATTAGGAGAAGAAAATTCTTGTTCAGAAAAGTAATGCTTTATGTTCTTTGAGTTGAGTGTGAAAGATGCAGCCTGATTCTCTCCAGGGGCTGTTCTCAGTACAAGACGTAAAGAAACGCAGTGTGCTCGGCAGATTTCTGTTCTGTTGGCTCTAACGAGTGACATACATACACTGTATGCCACACAGTAATAGGGCTAAGGTTGCCCCAGAGAATTCCACAGCATGGTTTAAGATTTCAGCCGTGCTTATCAAGGGGATTCATATAGCTGCCATACCACAGCAGGGAAAGAAAATTAAAGAGATAGGCAGCCCAGGCCACTAAATACTGTCCAAACTTCACTGACCAAGGATAGTTTCATGACATGTTCTAAGAAAGAGGAGAATGTGTTATTAAAATTTTGAAAGAAATATAAAATGTACAGTCCCTAAAATCCATTGACAGTCAATCCTGGAGAGACAGACAGCAGTGCACTTTCATTAATCAGCTTCCACAATCAAATTGTTTTCTTGTACGGTGCTGCCCTCTCCAAACAAATATTTAGTTACTTCAAAGCAAACCAATGGCTGGTTATGTTTGTGTATGCCTGTAGATTATTTTTGATTCTGACATTTGCAATTCTAGTTGCTGTTCACACTGGGGTGTTCCTGGAACTAATATTTCAAGTAATTCTAGTATTCCAACCCTTGCTATATTTTATTCAGTAATTTCTAGCAAAGGCTTTGCAGGGGTTAAATTATGCAAATACTTCCTGTGGGAGACATCGCAGCTGAGCAAATCATTCTCAAGTGCCTTAGGACATCCTGCCCACATGGAAAATGCTATAGAAATATAAATTTGTATTACTGTATATTGTATTGCATTCCATTAACCAGCCACATGTGCAGATCATCCAGGAGGAAACAACTGGAAATAGGGCTCTGGATAATGTTCAGGACTAGGAACCAAGGCTGATATCCTCTCCCTTTTTCATGGGCTCTGAGGCCAATTATAGCTCCCCAGCTGCTAGCCCAGCTGAGATAAACTTACTAACCCTAAGAGCTTTCAGTCTGTATGACCTTGCTATATATTGAACAGTGCCTTTTACTCAGTTATGGGGAAACTGCCTAGTCTCAGCAGATGAAACATACAGGGTAAAGTCTGTGATAAAGGGCATCATATATGGTTTGTAGAAGAAATAGTAATAATAATTCTTGCATTTGATATAGCGCTTTTCACGTCTTCTAGATGTCTCAAAGTGCTTCACAGAATATACTGTTAAGTGAATTGACTGTATATTTGTGGGCGAAACGCGGCAGCCAGTTGCGCACAGCAGTGTCCCACAAACAGTCTGTTTGTGGTTTGGAGGGATTATTATTAGATGTGTGGAGTAAGGAAACTTGCCCAAGGTTTCGCCCTGCCTGGAATTGAACCCAGGTGTCCCCATCTTTTGTTTTGCTTATCAATATCACTGCTTAACAAGGTTGAATGTAACTAATGTTTCCTTACATATCATACATCAGTGCTGAAAAACAAACTGTCTTTGTTTGGTTTTCCTGAAGTAGCATAACTTGCCCGTTGCTGACAATTTCCTAAAGATAATTTTCTCTTTCAAAAACCCTTGTCCACATTAATATTATTTAACCAAATGCACAATATGAAGGTTTGTTCAAACTGTTTCTGATTGTAACACAAGGATTAAATTCTTTGAGAAATACAGTAGACAAAATGTAAGAGTTCCACTTATACACGTAGACTTTATGAAGTGGTTTAGCTTGAGTTTGCAATTTTTTTTGTTTGTAGTTTTTTTTAAATAGGAGCTTCATACAATAATATGCTCAGAAGTTTTACTATCTTCTCTCTGTTATCAATATAAAACCCACATTTAGCTTCGATACAAGAGCATCCGCTCTGCACATGTCCGTCTGAACAGATTTTCATATTGTCCTACGACTACCTCATCGTTGCCTCTCTTCTGTTTCCTCCGATATTTACTATAAGGCATTACTGTACTCTTGTACAGAACCAACACACTGCTCAGGTCATCCAGGTGCTTCTGGTACTTTTTATAGAGCAGGTAAGACTCCTGAAAATGATCTGGATGAGTCAAATGTTTTCCGTGCCTTCCTGCAATCTTACAGGAAGGCCTTATTGACAGATCATTTCCCCGCTCATGAGCTGTTACTCTTACTCACCAAATCTTCCCATTCAGCAGTAATTGTAAAATGAGCCACTTGAACAGTCATCAAATTGATTCCAACGCCCTGAGATTGAGTCTATGTTTAGTGGATATTACCAATGTCCTCGAAATTTATCAGAAAAGTTCAAAAGCGAATTCTGTGCTGTTAGTCATTAAAAACAGGGGAAGCTTTGTCAGCTGTATGGGGTAGCCTGTAAGAGCATGATATTTCCTTATATTAAAAAAGGCTAAGTATATGATTGTTGTGATATCCTTTGTCTTCGCCAATGTTTCTCACAGGAAGACTTGTTAAAAGTGATTGCTTTAAAAACCAGCTTGCTTTTAACTCTGTGGTGCTTTACTGAAGGGCATTGTGCTTAAAAAGATATGTAAGGTGTACATTTTTATAGCAAATGGGGAAATAATTTAAGATAAACAGCACAAATTAAAAAAGTCATTGCAAAATAAGGGTTGACAGATTTATTCTTTCCATAGATAGTAACCAACACCAACATTCATGATGTAAATTGTTCCTCGGTGTTACTGTTGCTCTCATCCCCTAACCTTAGAACCATGTCTGGCTGAGTTGGTAAAACTCTCGCCTCTGAGTCAGAACATTGTGGGTTCAAACACCATTTCGGGGACTTTGAACTTATAACTGACCTGGAGGGAGTTTGAAGTAGGCTAACACTCCAGTGTCGTGCTGAGGGCGTGTTGCATTGTTAGAAGTGCTGTACTCCTGATGAGACATTAAACCGAGGCCTCGTCTGCCAGTTGAATGGATGTTAAAGATGGTATGATACTATTTGAAAAGAACAGGGAGTTTCTACCAGTGTCCTGACCAACAATATCCCAAATAAGATTGGTCATTCACCTCATGGTTATTTGTGGGACATTGCTGTGAGCAAATTGGCTGCTGTAGTTTGCCTACAAAATAGATTGACTCCACATCACAGTATATTGTTTGAAGCGCTTTGAAGACATGCGCTTAAGCACTTTGACCATGAAAGGTGCTGTACCAAATGTAGGCATTTTATGTCTGATTACTCTGCTGAGCCACCTATTTTGTCCTTCAAATGAGACATTCTATCTCTCTGTTCAGGTGGATGCTAAAGAACCCACATACTATTCAAAAAAAGAAAGGAGTGTCAATAATCCTCCAGATATAATTGATCATTCACTTAATTGCTATGAAACATTTAGAGTAAATCTAGATCTGGGTGAAATTTCTCACCACTGGTGAATAACTCAAAATGTAATTATCAAATTATTAGGATTTGTGTGTTATTATTTAAAACGCTTATCTAGTCAGAAAGAATTGATATGTTGCTTTGGTAAAAGAAATAATTCTTCTGTTGTTGCGATTGTTTTTCAGGTGATGTATTTCAGTTCTCTCTTCCCCTACGTTGTACTTATTTGCTTTCTGGTTCGAAGCCTTCTTCTCAAAGGTTCTATAGATGGCATCCGTCACATGTTTACCCCTAAGGTGTGTTGAAGAATGAAAAGGGCATTCTGGCTCCATCTCGCTGCTTGATTGCGATTGTGTTTTAGTGTTGTTGTGCTCCTGTTTAGATTTACGGTTCTTAACATATGAATACATCAACTAGAATGAGAGCAGTTTAGAAATGGAAGGCAATTCTGCACCAGAATTTTACTTTTCGACTGCCTTTCAGTCATCTTTGCCCTCCTCACTGTCCAGTGGCAGGATTCGAGAAAAAGCAGCCCTTCAATATAATTTCTAATGCCACCCAGTGGCAATCGCAAGGATTGCATTGGAATTGATATCTTCAGAAAGATACTCACAAACCAGGAAAATCCTGCTGTTTGATCAAATCAAATCACACTGTGCACTCAGCTTCATAAAAGTAGTAAATCAAATTTGTAATCTTGGCTAAATGTATCTTCCTAGTATTTATCCTTTTAAATACCAGGAAAGGATAAATAAGAAATCGACTAACCACATGTTTATCTAATCTGTTAACTCCACAGCATTATGCTTGGCTGAACACAGTGCAGAACGACACATGCAGTGTGGTTTTCGGAGAATGCATTGTGTAAATGTATGACGGTTGGCATGTTTCTTAGCATTGAGAATGGATATGGAGAAGGCAACTCATCACCATTGAGTGCACAGCAAGCAAATTAGTTAGCCCAAATTTGCATTGATTGTGAAAAGAAAACCCTAAAAAAATTCTGTGGTTGGGATTGCTGTGTAGATTAAGTGGATTGAAGAGGTGGGTAAATGAACAATCGAAAGTCAGTTGGCGACTGCACTGATATTTTTATTGATTCTCTGTGAAATTGGTGGGGAAGGGATCTTTCAGTCCCACATTCCTGCAGCAAATATCAAAATAACTTTAACACATCTTTAAAACATAGATTGCTCTAGTTTTGACAATATTACTGTATTTCTATCCTGATTAATTTCTTCTCTCAGGTTTGTTACTTTGCCTATTTGGTGATTGTCTAGATATGAAGGGGTACTCATTCCGCTTGTGTCTAGATTTACTCTTATTTTCTCAGCATTTCAGAGAGTCCAAATACAGCCTTAAATTTGAAGCTAGTTTTCTGTATGTTCTCTCAAGAACTATGGAAAAACTGATTTTTCAGTTAAGACTGAAATCAACAATTTGTCAAAGAAAAATACAGTAAATCTAGATCCAGTGGGGATTTTTTTCCACAGCCGTGCGCTATAACCCTGTCTCTTTTCAAACCCAACAGTTGGAGATTATGTTAGACCCTCAGGTCTGGAGAGAGGCCGCAACCCAAGTGTTCTTCGCCCTGGGTCTGGGATTTGGTGGCGTGATAGCTTTTTCCAGCTACAACAAGCGTGACAACAACTGCCACTTTGATGCTGTCCTTGTGTCTTTGATCAATTTCTTCACCTCTGTCCTGGCCACCCTGGTGGTATTTGGCATCTTGGGTTTTAAAGCAAATATTATAAATGAAAAATGTATTGTTAAGTAAGTACTGCTTCCCCCACCCTCCATCCCCATCTTATTCATTCATCTGACTGTGTGGCAGGAACCCGGTTGCATGTGGTGTTGCTCACAGTGACAACCTCCCCTCCTGTTTTGTTGAATTCCAGAAATGCAGACAAGATCCTGGAAATGTTATCAGCGGGAGTGGTTAGCCATGACCTGATCCCTCACCATGTCAACTTCTCTGAGGTCTCAGCGGAAGATTACTATCAGATGTATGATATTATAAAGGGAGTGAAGGAAGAAGAGTTTCCAAAGCTGGGCCTTGAGTCCTGCCAACTGGAGGATGAACTGAACCAGGTCAGTCAACCGTCATCTAGTCAGTAAAGAAATAGATCTCATCACTCAGAAATTGTTCAGAAACAGATTTGCAGGGACCAGATTTGCTGTCGTTTTTACAGAATTGTAGCTCATGCAAACCATCCAGGAGTGCACCATTGCATCTCTTTTATGAGTGTGTGTAAAAAAATACTCTATGCTGTTCCACACGGCCAAGTTTTATTGCATTTTTTCCCTGGAGGAGAAGCAAAAGGGAGATTAGAGAGGCTGAAAAAGAGAATGAACAAAAAAGACTGGCAGTCAATGGAAAGAGCAATAGCAAAGACTTTTATGTGCCTTTTATAACAAAGATAGTATTTAAAGACAAGGTGGGACCATTTAGAGCTTTGGGGATGGCAATCTTGCAGTTCAGAAGGAATGACGAAGATGCTTAATAAATACTTTACTTTGATTTTTACAAGTGTAAGTGGGGGTGTGGAAGTACTAGAGGAGGATTTGAAACTCCTGGAAATAAAGATTTCAAGAGAATCTGCACTTAAGAAGTTAATAGCACATAAAAGCAGAAATGTCACAAGCAGGATATTGGGATTAGAGTAGTCAGCTCCAGTGGATGAACCATTTGAGGTTGGATTGGCTGACTGGTCTCCTTCTATATTTTCTTTCTATAATTCTATGCATTTTCACCTACAGTAAAACGCTGCTAACCAGACTAATGGGGGTACAGAATTCTGATCTAGTGAGCTAGAATATCTGGCTAAGTGTAATTACTACCGATAATGGATTTACGAACATTTTTTGGCACTGCTGTTTTATGCACGAATGTACTGAATGTTAAACTTAGCTATTTTCTGCTCACATGATTCTAGCTTTACTAAACAATCTCAATCAAATTCGATATCCCACCAATGGAAATTTTTAAAAACGTTTGAACCCTGGTCCGAATTTTGGATACCTAAAGTCCAGTAAACTGGAGGGTTACTATACTTATAACATGTAAGAGATCATGAGGTCCTCCCCACACAAAGAATTTCCTGACCAAATAATTCCCCCAGCTAAAATTGGTCAATCACTGCATGGCTGTTTGTAAAATATTGCTTTGCACAAACAACTTCTGCCATCTCCTGCAATCCTGCTCCATTTCCCACTCCCTGTGCTCCACAAAACTGGGTCTGTTTCATGTTCCCAGACCCATCTGTTGATGCAGCCTCAGATACTTTTGCTTTACAGTCTGATCCACGTAACTGCTGTGAAAAAAACTATGACTGAGCTCCTTACTTTCTATGCTTTGCAGGCTGTCCAAGGAACTGGTTTAGCCTTTATTGCATTCACCGAGGCTATGACTCACTTCCCAGCTTCTCCCTTCTGGTCAGTGTTGTTCTTCCTGATGTTGGTAAATCTTGGCTTGGGCAGCATGTTTGGAACCATTGAAGGAATAATTACTCCTCTCGTCGATACGTTCAAGGTCCGCAAAGAAATTCTCACACGTAAGTGGTTTGATACTTACACGCTGTAAGACCTAAAGAGGCACATAAAATCAACTAAGACAGTCGTCACCTAATGTTGGTTCCAAAAGATAACCCCATCAACTTTTACAGATAGAGAAGAAATTAAGTCCGCGGGCCGTAGTTTGGCCGGCACTGTTCTAGAGCTTATTTGGTGCCTGATGGATGCTAAATTCAGTAATGCTGTATGTGCTGCTTCCTCCGGCCGTTATCGTTCTTTTGATACACGTGATGCAAAGCAGATGCCATCAACAGCTCTGAAGAATGCACTGAATCATGACAGATTTGCACTGTTGCTACAGAAAAATAGCACAAACTCAAAACTCTGCCAAGTAAGGTGTTAGTGGCAGAATCCATTGTGGGTGTCAAGAGGGAAGTAGTCAGATATATGAAGGATAGAGGCGTGAAGGGTTCTGGGGATAATGCAGAGCGGTGGGATTGAATGAACACCTTGCTCTGGGAGTTGATGCAGACTCTATGGGCTGAATGGCTCTTCCTCTGAGCTGTAAATCTCTATGACTCTTTGGTTCTAAAAGTGAGTGAGCTTTCAGTCTCTGGTTCTTCCTGAGGAAAACTCCAGGTTTGCCTTTAAAATAATTTCCACTTCAATTCCAGGCTAATTCTTTGGAGTCAAAATTGAACAACAAGTTGTCTCTCAGTTTGAAAGGTGGACGGGCCACTATAATTAGTTAACAAGAAAAGTGCTTGCAGACAAAATAAATGTGGGAGAAGTGGAGCACTGGCAACAATGTATAGTGTTTATTTTCTGCGTAGGCATATAAAAGGCTTGACACAAGGAACACTGATGGCATTATTCATATGTCATGCTGAGTGCTGAAATGAAAATGTACCTCCTGATATCCCCATTCTCCCTTCTTGCCTTTTATGCTTACTGTACCAATAATTACAGAGGGATTACAGTAATCTTACTTGGAACTGTTTGAAGATATACTTTGGCCATCTATCAGGATTTTAATGTGTATTTCCCTTTGCTCCAGTTGGCTGTTGCCTCGTGGCCTTCTGTGTTGGCCTCCTCTTTGTGCAGCGCTCCGGAAACTACTTTGTAACCATGTTTGATGATTATTCAGCCACGCTGCCCCTGCTGATTGTAGTTATCCTGGAGAACTGCAGCATTGCTTGGGTTTATGGCACAGATAAGTAAGTACTTACTTAACAACGGTATTTCAGCAACTCAAAAGTGGAAAAACTCCATTCATTGTTATCAGAAATTGTTAAGTGTTGTGGATATGGCTTTAAGAAGTTAACATTGTGGTGGGAAGTGAGTGGGAAGTTAGGTGACTAATCCTGTGGTGAGGCTTGTTCAGTGATACATTGTATACACCTGTGGTTGCTAGTTATATAAACAACTATTTCAGTCAGTATAAAATAACAGCCACGTTTCAAACAAGTTAAAGTGCTTGTACTCATGAAGTGTGTTTACATGTGCAGTTCAGTTCAACACAGTATATTTGCTTCCTCTTTCTGCTTCACTGTAAGAACACATCCATTTACCACGTTTGTGAACCAGTGACACTCACCATTAAGAGAAACTTGAGTTTAAGCTGCGCGGGGGGGTGCTTCACCAGTGGAACCAAAAACTGCTTGCACATCTATTCGTATTGTTATACGACTTAGTCTCTTTTACCTCTCCCTTATTTCATTTAGCCCAGCCTGCATACAAGCAATAATAATAAGTCGCTAGAAACACTCAGCAGGTCGAGGAACAACAACTCATCCACTTCCTAGGCTCCTTATAGTGCACTGGCCTCAACATGGATTATAACCATTTCAGACCTTAAACACAGCTCCCATCTTCTCTCAGTCTTGCCTCCCCCCTTCCATTCATCTATAACCATTCACACTTCCTGTGGGTCTCAGACATCTTTTTTTTCTATAATCTCCCACTATTGCCTTTGTCTTGCACCTTCACACCCCTGATATCATATCTCCGGTCCTCCAGATAAGAATTTCCTTTGCCTTTCTTTCCCCGCCTCCTTCTCTACTTGTCCTTATAAACTGCTCCCTTCCAACATACGCCAGTTCTGACGAAAGATTATCAACCTGAAGTATTAACTCGCTTTCCTCTCTCCATAGATGCTGCTTGATCTGTTGAGTGTTTTCAGCGACTTCTATTTTTATTTCAGATTTCAGCATCTGCAGTATCTTGCCTTAAAATAACAAGCCAATTGGCTCTGAACCTAACGCAGTAGCGAGCAAGGACATTGATTCCCAATGTTTGAAAGACGTGCTATGAGAAAAAGCCAGATAAGCTAGAGCTCTTCAGTCTTGAAAAGGGACATCTCAGAAGAGAGTATCTTGAAAATATTAAATTGGACAAAGAATGTAAACCTGGAATAATACTTTCAAATTTGTCAAAACACGAGAAGGATTCATAATTTCAGATAAGGATCATTGATTTGAAAGAAGAACAAGGTGAAATTAGTACAATTCTATAATGTTCCCCATGAGATAATTATCACAGGGAACATGTTTTGAAGTACTGAACATAGCCCAATACCATAGGTTGCTGGAAATTGGCAGTTGTGTAAAGGTTGGCTATGAATTGAACAGGTTCCTGTGCTTTCTGTCCTCTGAGCATTGCTCAGGGCAACATAGGCAAGAGCAGGATCTTAGTGTAGAGAGAAGCGTGGGATCAAAGCCAAGGAGTACACAAGGGTGCAGCAAATTGACTATCTCTGAGTCATTTGTTTATTGAGCATTTACCATTGAATGCAGGAGAACCCAGTTGTAGTCTCTTTTGATATAGGGTGGATCGATTATAATTTGAGCTCATCAAAAGTGTGATGTTCAGGCACCATATAGCCAGCTTATCATGCTTAGAAAAAGGTCTGGGTTGTCAAGTCACAGAGAATAATAATAATCCTTAATAATAATCCTTGCATTTGATATAGCGCTTTTCACGTCGGGAGGACGTCCCAAAGCGCTTCACAGAACATACTGCAAAGTGAATTGACTGTATATTTGTGGGCGAACGCGGCAGCCAATTGCGCACAGCAATGTCCCACAAACAGTCGTAGATTGAAAATGACCAATTAATTATTGTTTTTTTTTTTGGTTTTGGAGGGATTATTATTAGGCGTGTGGAGTAAGGAAACTTGCCCAAGGTTTCGCCCTGCCTGGAATTGAACCCAGGTCTCTCACTTGCAAAGCGAGTGCTCTAACCACTGAGCTACAGGACTCCAGAATGTCACTTCCTGCGCACTGCGTATGCGCACTAAGTAGGAGGACGGAAGCGATGTCAGTGATACTTCCTGCGTATACCACATTTGCTCTTAATACAACACAATACAAAATTACATTTGTATAGCTCTTTTTCACGTTGGGAGGACATCCCAAGGTGCTGGTCAATTGGGGATTTGGACCTGAGTGGGTAGGGAGGGTTAGTATCAGGGAGGGTGGAGGGTAGGAGGGTGGCCAAAGGCACGATCGAAGAGGAGGGTCTTGAGACGCGACTTGAAGGAGTCAAGGGAGGGAGAGAGGTGAAGGGAATGTGGAATGGAATTCCAAAGTGTGGGGGCCGAAAGGCTGAAGGCCCGACCACTGATGGTGAAGCGGGCTGGGTGGGGGTCGTGGAGCAGGCCGGCTGTAGGAAGGGGCAAGACTGTGGAGGACTATGCTTTGTGCAGGAAGGGACGTAAGCGAGAAACTGATGCCTTGGATTTGTGCAATCTTCTGTGTTTTGCTAACAATCCAGCCACTGTGACGTTAGATCCACCCAACAATACTGTAGAAAAGTTTCCACGTATAACAAATATAATACCTTCAACTTGTTTTGCAGGTTCATGGAGGATCTGAAGGACATGCTCGGATTCACTCCATTCAAGTATTACTATTATATGTGGAAATACGTGTCCCCAATTATTCTGATTGCTCTGCTCGTGGCAAGCATTGTACAGATGTGCTTGAGTCCGCCAGGCTACCACGCATGGATTAGTGATCTGGTGAGCCCTGGTCAAAGCTGTGTGCCACCTTTTTATCGTATTGTGTACTGTGTTTCTTTCTTCTGAGCTGTATAAGGTGACATTGTCACCTTTCTGGAATCGAGCCTTTATAGTTTAAAAAGAGCTTGCGCACTCTGCGTTGGATAGGGAAACCTCTGTCACCAGGCCTTAATGAGATTGTGAAGATGAGATAAGTTTAGCAAGACAGCTCCCAAACGGAAGCATGTTGGGACCCAGTAGTGTTTTTTAACTGGGAAGCTCTGAGCTTTTTTTAATTATAAGTTGATACAAAATGGATGATTCACGTATTGATTTTACCTCACAATCTGAAGCAATAAATTCAGAAATAATAGTATGCCCAAGAGCCACAAAATGTAAAATAGACTTTGTTCGAATGAGTCAAATATTAAACGTACTCCGTTTATCTTCCTAGGCAAGTGAAAAGTTCCTGAGTTACCCACCGTGGGGTTTGGCTATCTGCATCTCTCTCATGCTATTGGCACTGCTTCCTGTGCCGATAGTGTTCATCGTCCGTCACTTTAACCTGATTGACGACGGCTCCAACTCCCTGGCTTCTGTCTCATACAAAAAAGGCCGGATTCTTAAGGAGAATTCCAATCTGGAGGAAGACGATGCCAGTCTGCTGCAGAGCAAGGCCCCAAGCGAAATGCCCTCCCCAGTACCTGGTAAAAGCATCTACAGAAAGCAAAGCGGATCACCCACTGCAGAACTAGACACAGCTCCAAACGGCCGCTATGGCATTGGCTACTTAATGGCTGACATGCCTGAATCAGACTTGTAGCTGCAGAGCAAGCTTTTCCGGTCTATGTGTATGTTGTTGCGTTGATCAGAATTGCCACTCCACGTAAAGTACTAACGTGGCTCAATATATCCTGTATATCCTGTAGATAGACTATATTTTTCCATATCAATGATAATGATGATATTGTCTGAAATACTGCTGCCTGTAAGTAGCTATGAACAAAAAAGAAGGAACATACTCTAATGCAGCTGAAAGTTTTTCTTCAATGATTCCTCCAAGGAAAGAATTCCTGTGTTTATTTTCCAAACAAGAAAGTTTCTCCTGTCAAAATGGGGACTTTCAGAGTGCCCTTCGGATCGGTAAATATGAGAGGCCCAATAAAGCACCTAATTTTAGCCCTGAAACCATTTTATCTTAAAATTTTAAATTGTGCGGAATTGTGGAAAATTCTTCAATTCAGTCATAATCTGGAAGCAGATTTGCTCTTAATAACAAATCTTCCAAATTAAAATGAAAATAAAACAAATTTCACATAACACCATGTTAGGACTGAATTGAATGAATTTTCCACAATCTACATTATCTTAAATGTAAGCCAAAATGGTCTGACAGGCTAAGACTAGGTGAAATTGTGTGACTTTTAATTTCTTACCCTTTGTGTAATATATGGAAGGACTTATAGCACCGGCATGAATTCGAGCAGAAATTATACAAGTTAACATTTGTAACCTTGCATTATTTGATTTCTCAAACCAAGGAGCATTTTTCTGCCTTTACTTTAATCTCTGACAGGTATCTGTCGTAGGAAACACTTGAGATATACAATGATCACAACATTCATCTGCTAACAGTTGTTAACTGGATGTACATTATGCCTATCTCCACAATGTGAACAGGATCAATGAAGTGTGGGCCGTGCGAGCTACAGAAACCAAGTGGGAATTGTTATTTTAAAACAGGCTGTATATCTTATGTAAAGTGGTTGCTATTATTTGAAGAGGTAAGGTTGCCCCATTATCCTAAGTCAAAGCTGTCTCTTGTTTTATTGTCATCAAACTGAACAATCTTATCAGTTGATTTGGTGCCTAACTATTTCCGATATTTATTGTGGTTTAGAACTATTCAGTGAGCGAGCAGTATATTTATATTGTATATTGCAAAATGTACATATGTATATTTGTCTTGGGTTTGTTTGAACATTTTGATGCAAAGTAGCTTTTTTCAGCTTTGATAAGCTCCTTTGGTGAAATTCTTTGCTTATTTTGTTACTATTAGCACAATTGTTTCCTTACAACAAGGCTATTCTATATCTTTGCTTTCCCTCAGGAGGAGGGTTGAGACCAGTGGGCTGCACAGGAGTCCTGCATACCTTTACTATATTTCATGTGAAAATAAACGCACAATGACTTGATTTGAGACTTTCTTTCAGTGTTTATTTTTAATTTTTCTGGTGTCCATTTTTACGAGAAGAAGATTTGGAGGTGAAAGTGCAGTCTCTATCCCTTCATTCTCCTTTTCAACCATGCGCCCTGCCACCCACATCCCCCACCCCACTCCTCAAAATACACCTCAAATAAAAATGTTTGAAAACACATCATGTTTTAATCAACTTTGGTCTTAAAATTCCATCGAGTCTTAACCTGTAGAACCATTTTGCTTTTAAACTTAACCTCGGTCAGAAATTTGATAAATTCTTAAATTCAACCTTAATTTGGAACCCTTTTTTTTAAGAACTGCAGGAAAATGATTTTCAAATCAAGATTGCATTGAAGAATTTTCCACAATTCTGCAGAATCTTCAATTTTAAGACAAATTGGTCTTATGAGGTTTGAGTATCTTTACAATGGTTAAAACCAGGTGAGATGTTGAGTCTTTTATCTCTACTTTTCTTACCTTTCCCATTCCCAATCACTTTTATCTGCCTCTCCTCCAAGTTTATTTCTTGGTTATCTACCCATCTTTCTTTTTAAGTTTTTCAGTAGTCTCAACACAAAAAGGACAATATTAGCACAAAGGGGAGGAGAGTTTTTTTTAAAAAAATGCTTTATTTAAAACTTTGCATTTGTTTTAAAGTGTGAGGGACAATATATATGTAATAAACATATTTTGATGTTTGAGTAGCTTTGTTTCTGCAAGGTTAATATTTTGTCCAGCTTCATAGTACAAGAGCATAACATGGGCAATAGTGTAAAAAGTAGTCCTGCTTGCAATATGAGGGTTAAATGGGGTAGATCGATAGCTCAGCACAGATAGTACTTCCAACAGTCTTCAAGAGAATTATTGGGTTCTTTGGAAACTGCAAATGACTGATGCTATCTGGCATCAGTAAATCTGCAGCAGAAAAAATATTACCCATCTGTTCCTTTTGTATAATATCTTCCAATTATTCTGAATGGCAACCTTTATGAATGAGGAAAAATGATATTTGTAGGCTGATTTCTTGTAACTAAAGACTTGTATATAAAATCAAGCAAAACTAAATGGAATTGTATTTGAACTGTAAATTTATGAATAAGAGAATGGGGGAGGTCTGTTTAATCAAGAGCAAAGAATAGAAAACCACTTATGAAATATTGCCAATACCATCAAAATCAATCAATCTTGGTTGTGCCATTAATCTTAGGAACCTATGGGTAGAAATTCCAGATATACTGTTTTAACATAACATTTCAGAGGGTCTAGAATTCGGCAGATACGTAAAATATAGTCTTCAATTTTGAAGCCAGTGTTCTGTAAGTTTCTTTACAAATTACAGAAAACTGGCTACAAAGTCAAAACTGAATTCAACAATTTGCCAAATTCTGAGGATTCTAAAATGCTATGTTAATTAAATAAATCTAGACACAGGTGGAATTTTATACCACAAAGGGTCACTTTTTGGGAGGGTATTTGCATCAGAATCAAATTTTTGAAAACATAGTCCTATGTCTGTTGTAAAAGTACAGAACAATCAAATGAAGTCCTCCAGCAGTTTCAGCCTGAACCATTTCTCATTTCTTAAAGAGAATCATTTCTTAAAGAATCATCACAACAGCACAGCAACGTGCACTGTTATGCATTGCAATCTCCTGCAAACAGTGAATATGATTTGTGGAGTCCTGTAGCTCAGTGGTTAGAGCACTCGCTTTGCAAGCGAGAGACCTGAGTTCAATTCCAGGCAGGGCGAAACCTTGGACAAGTTTCCTTACTCCACACGCCTAATAATAATCCCTCCAAAAAACAAAAACAATAATTAAATTGGTCATTTTCAATCTATGACTGTTTGTGGGACATTGCTGTGCGCAATTGGCTGCCGCGTTCGCCCACAAATATACAGTCAACTCACTTTACAGTATATTCTGTGAAGCGCTTTGGGACGTCCTCCCGACGTGAAAAGCGCTATATCAAATGCAAGGACTATCAAATGCAAGGACTATGATGCACATTGCTCTACATAGCTGGAGACTGCAATGCAAAACAATGCAGAAACCACACAAAAATAAAACACTCCGCATTGTGTCTAGGAGAAAGAACAGACAGCAGAAGATTTGATCCTATGTTTTGTAATTTTACACGCAAAGAACATTTTAGAAATAAAGTTATACATTTTGATATGAATTGCTTTGGTGTCTATCAGATACTTTTCAATAAAGGAGGTGCCCATTTCAAACTAAATATAGTGAATATTTGTTTATAATATATATTTATGTGAGAATATTCATGGTCTACATATCAATCAATTGATCCCTAAAGTATTTCCAGTAGCAGGCTGTTATTTTCATTTACTATTTTGGCCACTAGGTGGAACAATGTCTCATAATTGAAATATAAAATCAAGAACTATATATTTTTATATTTTATGTTTTCTTTCTCTCTGCGTGCTTAATTTGGTGAAGGCTAACTGCTCTGGGGAATTGAATATCTTTCATTTTTAAACCTAGTGATAGCACCAAGTGCTCTCATAAATGAGTGAGAAGCAATGGTTTTAAATACAACAACAACAAGATTACATTTGTATGGCGACTTTCACGTCGGGAGGACGTCCCAAGACGCTGGACAGAGTACAGCATTTCAGACCCGAGCTGGGGTTGAGGGGGGAAGGGAGGGGAGGGGAAGGGAGGGTGGCTGATGGCATGGTCGAAGAGGGTCTTGAGGGGGGACTTGAAGGAGGCTAAGGAGGGGGCGAGGCGGAGTGGCTGGGGAATGGAATTCCAGAGGTTGGGTTAGAGTGGCTGAAAGCTCTCCCGCCAATGGTGGGTCGGGTGGGTCGGGGGACGTGGAGCAGGCCGGAGTCAGCTGAGTGGAGGGAGTGGGCAGGTTGGTAGGGGTTAGGAGGTCACAGAGGTAGGGTTTGGCAAGGCCATGAAGGGCTTTGTATGTGAGGACCAGGATCTTGAATTGGATCCTCTGAAGGATAGGGAGCAGTGGAGTCGAGCGAGAGTGGGGGAGATGGGGTCACAGAGTTTGGCGCGGGAGAGGACACGGGCTGCAGAGTTCTGGATTATCTGCAGCCTGTGGAGGGAGGAGCTGGGAAGACCGACAAGCAGGGCATTTGCATAGTCGAGCCTGGAGGTGATGAAGGCATGAACAAGAGATCCAATAAATAGCGATAATAAAAGATTCCACTCAGTTATAATAATAATCCTGACATTTCATTTTGTGCCCTTCAGGTCAGGAGAATGTCTCAAAGCACCAGGAGTGTGCCTCACAGGATATATTGTAAAATATAATGACTGTGTATTTTGTAGGTAAGCAAGACAGCCAATTTGCGCACAGCAATGTGCCACAAGCAGCCATAAAGTAAATAACCAATTTTATTTGGTGGTTGTTGGCCAGGACATTGGGAATAACTGCCTTCTCTTTTCAAATAGTACCATTGGATCTTTAACTTTCACCTGAAAATGCAGACATTATCTTAATGTCCCATATGAAGGATGGCATTGGAGTGTCAGTCTGTGAGCTCAAGGTCCCAATGTGGAATTTGAACCCATAAGCCAGGCAGGCAGACAGGCTGGACATAGGACATGACTCATTGTTCACTACAGTGGCAGATTAGTGCTATTTATGGACTGTTTAGTCCTCTGAATCGTTTAACTGGATTACAACTGTCTGAATACACGTTGAGCCTTTAAAGTGCTCGAGAGATGGATTTAGGCTGGATTTGAACCCTTGACATAGCAAATTAACTAGTGTTGGCTGAATACTTGGACAAAACTGAAATCCAGGATCCGATTTATCCATCCATTACCTAAAATGCCTCTTAAAGCTAAATGTATTTTCCTAGATAGCTTCATAGCTAGATTCAATAGCTTGTCATTCACTCTAGCTACTCAGTCTGTGAGAGCGGATAGAAGGAACAAGATGGACAGAAGTCTTTTCAGCCTACAATTTTTCAGACTCCTCACATTTCACATTTGTCCAAGGGCCAAAGAATATAACAAATTATTCCACTGCACACATTCACCACAATTATTTCAAACAGATAATAAATAATGGCTTAATCCAAAGGCCAAATTGAATCAAAATTTGATGAAATAAGATAAATTTCGTAAATACTTCAGAGCTCATCTCCAATTCTAAAGCACACAATCTGCTGATTTTAGTTAAAAAGGTTGCTCACAAACTCACTTTTGGGACAAAAAACTTCCAGTCCAATCATATGACTGATGGGAAGAGGTAGGTTATGTATTATTTCAATGACTTAACCTGATGAAATCATTGATATTTTGCACACTTTGTTTTCATTCAAAATACAGTATGACTGCACTTGAGTCATTATAAGCAAGTCAGGTTAGATGCATTGTTTTGTCTCTTATTTTACAATATAACCCAATCAACCATTAAGTACAAGTACAGCAGAAAATTCAATATTATTTTGCAAAACAATTGTGTTACTGCATCCTTTTGTAAAATTCAATTCGATATACGGATTATATTCCTTGTTTTGGTATTGGAGGATGCTAATTCTAAACATGGTTAATTCTGAGTCGAGCATTAGCATTGTCAGCTATATGCATGTAGTATTTAATCAGCACAGCCTGTTACAAATGTGTACAGAAAGTATCTCACTTTACAGTACTTCCTATGACCAACAATAATTATTTCAGGTGATGTACTCTGTTCTATTAATTCGCTGTTTGGGGATAAATGTCTTAAAAGAGATATTCCCCTACATTTACACATTTCTATCATTTTTGATAATTTTGGTCCTCTGGTTTGGATTTTGGAACCTGAATAAATGTAGCCAATGCTGGTTACATGGTGCTAACTGTTCAAGATTCCTGTATTTTAACCTTCTAAAAACAACAACAACAACTTTTATATAGCGCCCTTCAAGCAGGATAGCATCCCAGAGCGCTTGACAGTGGTGGAGCACGACACCGAGCCGTAGGGAGGTGACTGTAGGCACGATCGAAAAGGAAGGTCTCCAGG